TGCGCTAGGGCCGCACCGAGCGAGAGGCCCACGAAGAGGATCTCGCTCGCGCCCGTCTGGCCGGGCAGCCAGTCGCCCAGGTAGGCCGTCTTGCGCTCCCCCCCCCCCTCCTCCTCCTCGGCGGCCGCGGCCGCGGCGGCCGCTGCGCCACTCTTGCGCTGCTGACGGTTCTCGTGCCGCACCGTCCAGAACGAGTCGTGGTGGCGCATGACGCCGTCGTGCACGCGCATCCCGAGCTCCGGCAGCCAGTCGGCGGACGCGCACTGCGTGCCGAGCATGTTTTTGATGTCGATCCCGCGATCGCTGACCGCGCTGCCGCGCGAGCGGTTCCGGCTGCGCACCGGCTGCGCCGCTTGCGACTTGAGCGCCTCGCGCTCGACGCGGACGCCCCGAAAGGCGATGATGAGGCGCGTGGGGTCGTGCATCGGCCGAAAGGCGATGGCGCGTCCGGCGTCATCGCCAAAGACCTCAGCAACTTGGAACTCGAGCGTCGGCCCCAGAGGGAAGCCGTCCTGGCACCGCACCCGGCACTCGACCATGTCGCCCGCGGCATCGGAGGTGAGAGTCGAGGCGTGGTTGCCACAGAGCGAAAGGCAGGCGCTGGCCTCGCTCGATTTGACGAGGCGCTCCAGCCACGGCAGACGCCGCCCCAACGCAGCCGCGTCGCCGGCGCGCGTTCCTCTTCGCATGCACCCTGGGGCGGCTTGAAAGACGTGCTCACGCCTGCGCGGCGGGGCGAATCGGCGGTCGGGCGGGTGGGGCGCCAGCAGGCAAGCTCTGTGGCAAGGGCGGGCAAGCTCGCTGTGGCTTGTTGGAGCCGATGATTGCCGGAGTTTTTCTTTTCTCAGCTTTATTCTGATCTGCAAATTCTTTTTCTTCCCGCCTGTCCACAAATAAATTATTTTCTCCTCGACAACAGTTTAAAAAGGTACCTCTGAAAGTCCGAGCCAGCTGTTCTTCACCTTCTATCTTGCTTGCACGTCTCGCGCGCGCGTGAACAGGGCAAAGTGAAGCTGCCGCATGTGGCATGAATCCGTTCCAGCAAACGGATGGACTCGGAAGCGCCAGCCTTGCCTGAGGCCACGCAGCGAGAAGACTGCGGAGGACCAGAGAGATTTTTGAAGACCAACCAGAACCATCACGACTCTCACAGTGATTTGGGCTCGGCAGCTTGTCAGCCCTCAGCCGAAGCTGGGGCCGGTCCCGTTGCCGAGAGAGCCCGCGCCGATGAGTTCGACGCGGTCGGGGGGCCTTGCGGAGAGGCCAGCGAGATGGCGATCGCTGTACTTCATGGTGTCATCAAGTGACCGGCTGACAAGCCAGAGGTCGATACTCTGGACGACCCATAGGATGCCACGAATGCCTGAAGGAGAGGAGGCGAGGCCAGAGGCAGGCTCAGCTGCTCTGGGGTGATCTCGCTTTGGTGGCCGAAGGACCCGATGGTCCTGTCACATTCGCGTTCCGAGTCGCGGGGGTAGAAAAATTCGGGGTAGGATCGAGTCAGCACATCCTTGTAGTACAGCGGACCGCCAGGCTCGCCGGCAGCATCCGCAGGGAGGCAGCATATGCCATATCAGGCACCAGTCTTCTAGCCAGTCTTCTGGAGAGCTCAACAGCTGCGGCCGCGATGGCGGAGTCGGCCGCGGTTCGAGCGAGCAGCTTTTGGCTGCGGGATCGAATCGTGGAAGGCTCATGCCCTCGCGGAGCAACGCGGGTCGCGCGGCGCGCGCGTGTGCGAAATGCGACAAAAGACGAAAGACGACAGGCGCCTGAGCGCTGTACGACTGAACGACCGTCGCCGCAATCGACACCGCCGCCATCTTGACGAGCAGCGCGAGCGCGCTCGTCGGCGGCCAGCCGTCGCGGGCCGGGCCTCAACCGGCCTCAACCGGCCGCGCCGCCGCAGCAGGCCCGGAGGCCCACATGGCGGCCGACCAGCTTGCGTGAGGACCAGCGTCATCGCATCCCGCTCGCTAAGAGGTCGCCGGCCCCGGCGCGCCCCGCGCCCCGGCGCTGTGCAGAGTGCACCCCCGCCCCTGCCCAACCAACCCTGGGGTGGAGCGGGCCTGGTAGTAGAGTATCTAGTAACCAAGCTACTAATAGTATAACCTAATAAGATGCTTAGATGGGGTACAATACGAGAGGTCACGGAATCCTGGAAAACGTGACCGACCACTCCCACCCACCCCCACAACGTTTCCTACTCGCATCCAATACATCGACCACGTCCAGTCCCCACGGCCTCGTCAGCTGCGCTTTCGCTCGTCGGCGGAGAGCAGCTTGTCTACGAGCTGCTGCAGCGGCGCGAGTTCCTCCTTGCGCGGGATGAGGTCGAACTCGAGCACAAAGTACATAAAGTGCTGCGGGCGGCGGCGGAGGGCGGCGGGGAGTGGGCGGTGGGGCGGAGCGCGGCGGTGCCGGCGCGGTGCCTGGTGGGGGTGAGGGGGGTGGAGGGGCGGGGGCGGCGCGCGTAGACCTTGAAGCATGTGTTGATGTGCGGCAGGAAGGAGAGCGCGACCATCCGCTCGTAGTGGTTGTGATAGGCATGCGCGTAGACGCGGAAAAGGCGGCGAAATATCTGGCTGACGATGCTGCGAAAGTCGGCCGGGAAGGGCCGCGAAGGCTCGGTCGGAAAGATGTCCTCCGAGTCGAGCTGCCGCTGCACCCAGCCAAACAGGTGGCTCACATAGTCGCACGCGCTGAGCTGCACAGGCTGCTTGATCCTCTCGTCGGCCCACGCGTAGTGGCAGATGGACCCGTTCGGCAGCGCGGCGCACATGATCGGGCACGAGGACGTTGTGCAAAACTCGGAAACGAAGCCGTACACGAGATTGGTCTCGTTGAACAGGTCGAGAGTCTTCACGGCGAGCCACTCGTTGAGGCTCTCCCCGGGGGGCAGAGTCACGGCTTCGCGCAGGCTGCCCGTGCCGAGCGTCCTCTGAGCGAGCGTGTGTATGCGCTCGAGCCGCGAGCCGGCCTTTAGCTTCGACTTTGGCCGGAAGGTTTTCGTTTTTTCCGGATCCATCATGCGCTGCATACCAACCTGCAAGCTCTGCATCCAGTTTGACGGCAGCGTAGCCATATCCGACGTCGTGAAAGCTACACAATGTGGGGCAGCGTCTGGGATGGAGCGCGCGAGCAGATCATCAAGGTATAGCCGGTTGCTGCACCTTCAGAAAAATAAAAGGCAAAAAAATCGTCTCGTCTCGTATCGGGTTGCGTATCGTCTCGTATCGTCTCGGATCGTCGTCTCGTTTCTCGATGTCCGACTGGGCTCCCCACCGGCGGCGGGCTTGAAGACACTGAGCCGAGCGCGCCTGCGGCGGACCGCCGCCGGCGCGCTCGCTTCGGCGGATGGCTGAGCGGCACAGTTTCTGGCCGCCCGGCCTGCAAGCAGTCGCCGCGAGACGATCAAAGGCGCTCAATTCAAGCGCGCCGCCATGCCAGATCTCGCCCCACGCCCCGGCCAGACCGGGCAGTGCGTGCAGGAATGATGCAGGCATGATGGGTGGGTGTGGTGAGCACGCCAGCGGCACCGCTGCGCACTCTCAGGGTCGCAGCCGCCTATCTCGTGAGGGGCGTGGCTCGGGGCGGGTGCGAGAGAGTCGAGGAGCGCGGCGCGCGTGCGCGCGCGTGGTAAAGTCGGTTTATATTTCATCACTGGTATAAAAGAGACCCAAAACGGCACTCGCGCCGCGCCCACGCGCGCTCGTATCACCTCAAGACTCACACAGCACGCTTGAATGAAGCCCCCGAGGGGCGAGCCGGACCGGCTGTGGAGCTACTTGGAGGAGACGGTTCTCTTCGCAGATCCATGAGGAGCTGTGAGGAGGCACATTTCCGGCTGGTTTCGGCTCCGGACTGTGCTGGACTCACGTGGAACCGCCGGCGGGGCGAGAGCCAGCAGCGCAAACCGCGCCTCCGGTGCTCCGCTGCGATGACGAGCTGGCGCCAGCCACGCGCGGCCTGGCCAGGTCGGCAGGATTTTGTCCGAGTGTCTGGCGTCTCACGTCTCTCGCGAGGAAGGCGCACCGAGGCGTCGCGCGGACACGAGACGATCCGACCGAGACGAGACGATCCGATACGAGACGATACGAGACGAGCGATCCGATACGATACCAGACCGGTCTTTTGGATTTTTGTTTTTTCGCAAGGTGCCGCAACCGGCTCTAGGAACCTACCGTCGGCCCCGATTTTCTTCTTCGCTTCCGGCCGTAATAGTGTGCGCCTACCACGCCCTTGTCAAGTCAGCTGCTGTGAGAGAAGCTTGTATTTTAAGAAACTTTCTTCATCTACAGGTTGCAAACCCATAATGACTTTTTTGACACCTAGGTACCCAGTGACGCAGATTCGCTGCGATGCTGAGGCCTTGCGGGTTCCTGCCCACCCTGGGCGAGTACGACAGCAGGGCCGAGGCACACGCCGCTCAGTATCTCGCGGCGCGCGGCGTGGTGTCCGTCGCCGACTTGTCGCCCGCAGAGACTGCTGCGTTCGTAAGCGCGAGATGCGCGGGAGGAGCTTTGAGATCCACCACGGAGCGCTCGAAGCTCTGGTCTCATCTCACATCTGGATTTCTGGTGGTGCCTGCTGCCACCTGCAGTCTTCCCTTTTATGGTTTCAGAGTGAAGCACATACGGCAGGGGTCCCATGAAGAGGACAAATTCACCACGCTTGAGCACATGCACGGTGGGCCCCGCACAATCCACCGCAACCCTCCGCCTGCACGATGCGGGGGCGACATGGGTCACATCTCATGGCAACGTACGCATTGGTCACAGCGAACTTCGCTGTGCTGCCCTTCCCTCCACGGGAAGCCGTCTCTCACAGACGGAGCTCATCGGTGCTGCTGCTGGCGTCGGACTTGCCGTGGTCGCCGCTCGCGGCCCCCTCGCCAGCCTCGCCAGCCTCTTTGACTGGCTCCAGCGTGATGTCCGGCAGCAGCTCTGGGATCTTTGACTTTAGCTTCTGCTGCCGAGTGTCGGCAAAGTAGCGGTCGCCAGCGAGGAAGGCCTTGCGGTGCAGCATCGAGCGCTGCAGAGACGAGGTGACCGCGTTGATCAGGTCGTCTTCGTCGTACTCCTCCATGCTGCTGTCGGAGAAGGCGAGGCCCTTCCTTGGGGGCGGGCAGGCGGCCAGGTTTTTGTAGTGCGGCAGCTGGCCCAGCGCGAGAGCGACGGCACCCATGCAGATTGAGAGGAGCGAGCCCATCTTGGCCTCGCCCGCGAGCGCCTCGTCTGTGAAGGCCTCGCCCGAGATGAAGAGCGCCACCGTGAGGCCGACGGCCGCGATGATGCCAACCATCAGCAGATCCGTCACGCGCATCGAGCCGGGAAGCCGCGCGACGCCGAAGCGGTGCGCGAGGTAGGCGAAGCCCGCGATGCCGAGCACCTTGCCGAGCGCGAGCGCGAGCAGCACCGAGAAGGTCAGGCCGCCGACGCCGCCCTTGAGGTCGATGCCCGCGTTGGCGAGCGTGAAGAAGAACATGCCGAGGTCGACGGGCGCCTTGATGGCGTGCTCAAAGGCGTGCAGCGCGGCGTGGTGGCCATCGGCAGGCATGAAGGGGACGACAAAGGCGAGGGCGAGGGCGGGGTGTAGCCGCGCGTTGAGGAGGACGATCCACGAGAAGACGCCGCCGAGCGCCACGTAGACGTACCACTTTTGCACGCACGCGACCTTGCGCATGCAGACGCGCAGAAAGAGGCAGACGGCGAACACGCCGAACAGGCCTGTGGCCCACGACCACTGCGTCGGGTGGAGCGGGTCGGGGTAGGCGAGCGCGATGATGATGAGGCCGATAAAGTCGTCGGCGACGGCGAGCAGCAGCAGATAGTCGATGGCGGGGTGGCGGAGCGGGAAGACGCGCATCGCAACCATCCACGCGATGGAGATGTCGGTGGCAGTGGGCACGCCCCAGCCGTACATCAGGTCGGACAAGGTCACTGGTACCAGGGTGATGTTGGTGGCGGCGCTCGCGAGCAGGCGTCGATGCTCGTCGTCCGACGTCTCGTCGACGGGCTCCATCTCGTAGCCTTCAAAGCTTCCCGCCGCCCACTGCAGCGCGACGAGGCCGAGGTAGACACCGATGGGGCCAGCGACACCGCCGACGGTACCGACGAGTGACGACATCGCCTTTTTGGGCGGGTTGAGCGAGCCGCCGGGCAGGACGGACTCGGTCACCTCCTTCATCGCCAGGCCAAAGAAGAAGCACATGAACACGTCGTTGACGAGGAAATGGAGGGTGACCGGGTGCTCAAAAAGGTCGGCCGACTTGCCAAAGGGCATGAAATGGTCCCTGTGTGCGTCCGCACCGACCCAGTACTCGTAGCTATCTGGCGCAAAGGTGGCCCACGGCAGCGCGACGACGATGCCGAGCAGCAGCGGGATCGAGTACCGCTGCAGGATGTGCACGACGTGCAAGCACCACGAGGCCGACTGTCGGAGCGGTAGATGTCGCCTCAACCAGCGCCGGTGCTGCTCCGTGGCGTGCGACAGCTGGCTCACGCGGCGTGCGGAAGCTCGGCCCGTACGCGATTGCGAGAGCCGGTCTAGCTGGGCGCGCGCAGCCGCCGCCACGGCGCCGCTGCCTTCCTCGAGCTTTCGCTCCGCGCTCGCTTCGGCTCTGCAGAGTTGCTTGACCGCTCGGCGCATGGTACTCTCCTCCAGCGCAACCGATGCCTCCCGGGCGCCGCCTCGCTCGTTCCCGCTATCTTTGCCGCACTCCATCTCGCCCTTGTCTGCAGTGAAGTGCCGGTGCGGGACAACCACCATGCAATCGAGCTGGCAAGCGAGCACGCGGATGAAGCGGCGCGAGCTCGAGGCGGTGAGCGAGGCCGAGATGAAATCCTCGTCGAGTAGGATGACAGCGAGCGCCTTGCCCACCTTCTCGGACGCGGCGGCCTGGTCTCGCGGCCCGAGGTGGAAGAAGAGGTAGCGGACCGGCGTCTTCGAGAAGGAGAGGAGGCACGTCTGAAGCCGCACAAAGGCCATGAGCGGCTTTTCGAGGAAATCGACGTGTGCCAGCAGCAGTAGCGCCGCCTCCTCATTGGCGTCGGGTGCGAGGGCGGACTCGTCCGGTGCGTGTCCGCCCCCGATGGCGCCGCGCGAGGAGAGAGCCGCCACAACCTGCGGTAGCGCTGCAGCCGGCAGCTCGCCCGACTGAACGAGCTTGTGGCCCACTGTCTCGACCGCCTCGAGGAGCGAGACGGCAGGGAGCTCGAGGTGGACGTTGTGATCCCCCAGCCCTTTGTAAAGCGCCATCAGCGAAGCGATCGAGATGGTCGGCAGGTGCGGCCGCGACCAAGTGCCGTCGGTGGCCTTCTCCTGCGCCAACGCCCAATTCCAGTGGTCCGTCTCGCGCCAGACGCCCGCCTCGGCCTGCTCCATCGAGATGAAGAGCCGCCGACGCCGCGCGGGAACCGTGCGGAGCGACGCCATGTCGAGCACCACCTTCCCGTCTGCCGGCGCGTCGAGGGCCGAGCCGGGCGGCGGAGGCAACACCGGAAGCTTCTCGGTCGACAGCTGGAGCAGCTTATCGAGGCGGTGCTGGAACTCCTCGCGCCGCCGCCGCTGCCTGGGCGTCGCCGCCGTCAAACCGTCCTGAGAGCCGCTGCGGTCGCCGAGCGAAGAGGTCGGCCGCCCCGGCGTCGGCGAGTCGCCGGCCTCGCTCCGGTCCATCTCTCCCTCGCGGGAGACAGAGCGCGACATTTGCCGGTGGGCGGTGGGCGGGATGGCCGGCGACATGCCCTTGCGCGCGCGGATGCGTCCCTCAAGCTCGGCGAGTAGCACCTCGTCTTCGTCGACCGACTCGTCATCCGATTCCGAGACGGAAGTGCTCTCGCCTGCCGACTTGGTGGAGCCCGGGAAGTCCGTCGGCCGTGGGGCTGACGAGAAGCCAAAGACGTGTGGCAGAATGGAGAGCCCCTCGAGGTGGGCGTTGAGCGCGTCGAGCAGCGCCTGCGGGCTCCTTGCGCGATTGAGCGCCGCGACGGCGTACTCGTCGGAGAGGATTCCTCCAAAGGCATGAGCCATGCGCGAGGAGGCCTCCGCTTCTGCCTCTGGCCCGAGCAGCAAACAGAGGTACCGCACGGGCGCCTGGCCCTCGCAGCCCAGGTCGACGGGCGTGGCAAGGCGCGCGAAGGTAACGATCGGCTCGGAGATGAAGTCGAGGTGCGCGAGCAGCAGCGAGGCCGCCTCCTCCCCCTTCTCGGGGTCGAGCATGTGGAAGAGCTCGTCTGCCTCGGCGTCGGACGCCTCAAAGCCGGCAATCCTGCGCAGCGGAGTTCCAACCTCGCCGCCTTCGACGGGTCGCCCTAGCCGCTTCGCCGAGAGTAGAACCTCAGCGACCTGCGCGTGCTGCTCGGCGGCCAGCAGCCCGCCTTCCACCAGCCGCTGCAGCATCACCTCTGCAATCTCGCGAAGCGAGTCTGCCTGCAAGCCGAGGAAGATGTTGGCCGGCGAGAGAGCCTGCTGCAGACTCGCCGCCGCGGTCACCGAGATCGTCGGCAGGCGTGGTAGCGACCACGTCGGGTCGGCCGCGTCGTGGCCCGGGGAGAGGGGGAGAGCGTCCTCCTCAAGCGCGTGGTTCCACCGACCCGTCTCTGTCCACGCCTCTGCGCGTAGTTCCTCCAGCTCAATAAAGAGGTGATTCTTGGACGGCGCCGGCCCTGCCGCCTTGTGCATCCCCACACCACGCGCCGCCAACACTCGCCGTGGGCGAGTAGGGCGACAGTCGACTTCAGCTATGCAAGTTTTACGCGCGAATCCCAACCTTAGATCCTCGATTCCGGGGATTTCTTTTCGAAGCGAGCCGGATTTAAGAAGAGAGAGGCTGCGAACCCCAACCTTCTTAAGCTTAAGACAACACAGCCACCCCAAGGCGCGCAAGGTCTTCGCTAACGTCTTCGCCGGTCCGGCGGTATCAATTCTTTCCAGCATCCGCAGGGTTCGGACTCAGCCGTCTAGTGGGTCTGTGGCAGAACTCGCAAAAAAATCGGCCCCTCCTCCACCTATCTGGCCCCGTACCCCCCTACCGATCTGGGCCCGTGTTTCAACCCACCACTTGTGGGGGTTGTGGCGGTCGCATGCCTCGCAGCCGCAGCCCTGCGCGAAGAACCGTCGGCGTGCGCGTCGCAGGCATCTACATAGCGCCAGCGTCCGCGGCGCCGATGGAGAGCCTCCTCTCCGCGACGCTCATAGAGGGCCGCGGGATTGAGGGAGACAGATACGCTCTTCATACGGGCACCTATTCGGCGCTACGTGCCTCAGCCAAGGCTCCGGGCGAGCGCGAGCCCGGACGGCAGCTGACGATGGTGAGCGCAGACGGCGTCGAGGCGTCGCTAAAACGCGCCGGTGTCAAGCCGCCACCGTGCCTCGAATTTCGCCGCAACATCGTCCTAAAAGGCATCAGCGCAGAGGAGCTGCTGAGCGCCGTCGGACGGACGGTCGAGGTGGGCGACGCGAGGGTCTTCGTGCACCGTCACTGCGTGCCTTGCCTCTACAACGAGCGCAAGGCGGGCTGCCCCGGCATGATGGAGGCGGTGTGGATGGCTTCTGGCGTCTCGTGCGAAGTGGTTGCAGGCGGCACTCTCCGCGTGGGCGACCCTCTCGCCATCGTTGGGGAGGAGGACGCGTCACGCGTCGACGCGGGCATCCACCCAGCCGGGTACTACCTGCCGCCCTCGAAGCGAACCTCGGCGATGGTGCGCGAGGCCAGAGAGAGGCAGGCGGCGGCACGGGCGGCGCTCGAGGCGAGCGGCGGCCGTGAGGGAGTCGAGCGCGCAGAGCGCGCGTACGCGTCGGTCGGCCTCACCTTCTGGCCCGAGCAGACCGGCACAGCAAGCGGGCGGCCTCGTTTCCCTAGCGGTTGGCGGGCGGCCGCCGCGATGGCTCTCCTCGCTTGCCTCGCTTGGGCTGCGCTCGCGGCGCGGCCAGAGCTCGCGCACCGGTTTGCGCCGCCACCGCGGGCGCAGACCCGCGATTCGCCCCGCTTGCCGCCGTCGCCACGAATGCCGCCGCCGCTGCCGGCGCCGACGCTGCCGCCAGACGACGACGACGACGAGATCCTGTGCGATTGCGGATGGACGAGGGTCGAGGGGCAGTCGTGCGTGGAGACGGCTGGCAAGGAGGGCTTCGCTTGCTGGAGCGACTGCTGCGGCACATAAGGCACGAGACTGATGAGAGAGGGAGCAGAGCTCTGGTCGTCCCGCTGCGCTGCGCGTCGATTTGTCTTCGTTTTTTTTTTACAAATCGACGTTTTGGACCAATGACGGTGTCGCATTTGGGGGGGTGCGCGGCTCCGGCTCAGGTCGTGGGGCATAGCTCGGGTGTAAACGGGGTCTGGGGAGGAAGCCCCAGCGGCCCGCCGCAGGCGCCGCCGGAGGCTGGCCCGCCGCAGGCGCCGATTTTTTGGCGTTTTTTGCTCAAAATTGCGGGATTTCTCATCTAAATTCTCATCCAAAATCGAGCTCGCTACGAGCTCTCTAACTGCACAGCATCTCCTCGTTGAGCCTAGCGGCGCCCGTATCGCCCACGCCCACATTCTTTTTTCTTGCCCTTGGCCCTTGCTGCACTCAGCCGCTCAACCTCCGCCAGTCTCTCCTTGCTCGTTGCTGGCGCTGCCGCCCCCAGTACTGCGATTGCAGCTCCTTGGCATGCCGCGCCGCCTCCATCTGCTGTGCTTCCCACGCTGCCGCTTCCTCTAAAGCAGCGCCGCCACTAAGCGGCGCAACCAAGTTCTCGTACTGTTTGCATGAGCATGTGTCCTGCTGGTCCGCGGCGCACAATCCGCGCGCGGCGAGTGAGAGCGGAAGACTGACAGCAGGAGCTGCAGGAGCTGCAGGAGCTGCGCAGATCGGATGGGCGGTGACGCCGTCGAGCGACGGCGCAAAGACCAATCACCACCGCGCACCTGTGAGAGCCGCGACAAGAGGCTGCTGGCAGCTGGCAGAGCGAATCGCGATTCCGGCGGCCGCCGTCAGCCCACCGACACCGACGGCCTGTCTGAGGTCAAACTCCCACCGCACGTCGGACCAGTCGTGCGTCAGCCATGGCGACGAGACTGGTATGCAGACAGCCCGCCACCCGGGCGATAGAACATGCCAGCTGGGCTCTTCCAGGGCCTCGTGGCCCGTGGCGCGTGCCCAGTGGAATAGGGCGGGCTGCGGCGGGCGCAATAACTATTCACAGCTAATGAAAACTATAAAAACTCGCGGCTTCATCAAAGTTTGAGGTGGCTTCGTCCTCAGCACCATCAAGACAGCTCTATTCACACCCTGTTTGGTTTGAAGCCACTCGGGGATGCCCGTTTACACCCAACCGACGAGTCGCTGGGCCCTCTGACCTGAGCCGGAGCCCGCGCATCCGCGCATGTGCGCGTGCTGAGGGGTGTTGTCTGAGAATCTCTCGATCTCTCAGAGCAACACGCAGCACGAGGGTGAACACTCGGAGCGCGCGCACACACCGCAAACTATCTCACACTCCTACCTACAGCTCCTCCTTTTGACCTCCTCGCCTGTCCTCCTTCGCCTTTGCCTGCTGCTGCTGCTGGAGCCCCGCCACGGCCTCCTCGAGCACCTTTATCCAGTCCCGGCTGTGGTGGTACGCTGCGCTCCCGCCAAACTTTGCGTGGAATCTGCATTCCGCCAGCTCGTCCGCCGAGACCTGCCCGTCCGCATCCGAGTCGGCCAGCCCGAGGAGCTCCCGCAGCGCCGCGATTCCCGCCCAGATGCCGCTGTGGTACGAGTAATGCTCAGTGGCGTTGACGCGCTCGTCGCCTGGCGAGGGCAGCGTGAGGTGAGGGCGGTGCCGTCGTCCAGCCGTTCGGGCCGGTGGGCGGGGGATGAGGGTCAAGGGGCGCGCCGTCTAGGTCCAGGCCGGCGAAGATCGTCCTCCCCTCTCGCGCCGCCTTCTTCCTCTCTTCCGGGCCGGCACTGGCGAGGCGCTCGGCCGCCACTTCCTGGAACTCGCTCAAGGTTAGCCGCCCGTCCAGGTCCGTGTCCAGCTTCTGAAACGGCAGCAAGAAGGTGAAGAGGGGAAGCGCCTCCTCAGCCGCGAGCCGCCCGTCTCGATCGGTGTCGAAGCCGTCGAAGCTGTCCTCGATCGTCCGCTTGCCCTTTACGTCCATGTGCTCGAGGTCGGCCCGAAACTCTTCGGCGCTCAGGTACCCGTCGCGGTCGGTGTCCATAGTCTGCATGATGGGCGCCGACTGCCGCAGCATTAATGCCGTCCGTAGCCTGCGCACAAGCTTTGCGCCCTCTGCAATCGTGACGCGGCCGTCGCTGTCCTCATCCATCGCGGCGTGCAGGATACGCATTTGCGCGCCGGACATGGACTGAATCTGCATCTGGCCGGCGGCAGCGACGATCAAGAGTGCGGAGCGCATGTGCTAGCGGTCAGCACGCCTCTTTTTATGAGATCGGCCCACGCCTGGCGAGGTACTCCCACGCCTCTCGGGTTTTAGTCTGGCCGAGTCAATCCGAGTGCTGGGGCGAGGCGAGACTGCGTTGAACCCACAGCAGTACCTCGCCGGACAGCGCCAAAAAGGAGAAAAAGGCGGTTTGGAAAGTGAGTGTGTGCTGCCGAGATTCCCGCCCTGCGCGTTCCGCCGCGAGGCGCTGGTCGTTGCGATAATCGCGTTCGTCGCCGACCTGGGGGATCCCGGAGAACCTCGAGAACCGGATGAACGAGCCCACGCCGAGCCTCTTCACCGATCTGGACGCGCACCGACTTTTCGCCGAGGGATCTGAGGCCGCCTCGGACGGTGCCGCAGCTCTCTCGCTGTCGCTCGCGGCGCATTTCCGCGGCGGCGGATCCCTTCTCGAGGAGCACGAGTCCGAGTTTCTCAGGGAGAACTTGGACGAGTGCGAGGACCTCGCGGCGCTCGACTCGGAGGCGCGGCGTGCGCGGCTCGCGTCCGACGCGGGCGCGGCTGACCGGCAGGTACTCGCCTCCGTCTCCACCCTCTGCGAGCGGTTCTGCCGGCGCGAGCGGGTCGCCCTCCAGCTCGGGGTCGCCGACGCGAGCGCAGCGCGGCAGGAGGAGGCGCAGCTGGTCGCCCAGGCGCAGGCAATCCTCGACTCGCTGGCGGAGGACAGCGTCGACGAGGCAGGCGGCGGTGCAGGCGAGGCGGGCGGCGCCACAGCGGGCGGTCCCTGCGTCGGGCAGCCTTGCGTCGACCGCCCCAGCCGAGTGGGAGTGGGAATCGATGGGTCGGGCGCTTGCGCACCTGTGACAACCGCAACGCCCGAAGAGTCTGCGCACCCGCCGCCAGGCTCTCCGATCGGTTCGGGAGACGAGGCTCGGTCGCCGCTCAGCCCGCTGCTGCGGCTTCCTGCGCAGCAGCCGCGCGCCGCGTCTCCTCCGGTCCCGCCACAGCCAGCGCCACTCTGCCGCCATCCCGAGCCACCTCGCAGATGTCCGCGTTCCCCTCCGCCGCGACACCCGCCTCCGCGTCTGCCGACTCCGCCTCTGCCTCCACAGAGGACGAGCTCCAGCCCTGCTGCGCCCGCCCCTGCCGCTGCCGCCTCCGCCGGCTCTCCCCGCGCTCTCCCGCACCCCGCCGCGTCGACATCCGCCGACGCTCCCTCCGCCTCCCTCGGCGCCCCTTCCGCCTCCCTCGGCGCCGCCATCTCCCTCCTCGAGAGCGACCTCTCCGAGGACTCCGACTCGCAGCCAGGCGACGACACGGCCGAGCACGCGCTCGCCGGCGAGGCTCTCGCAGACCCCGAGCTGCCTCCGGTGGCGGAGGCGGGCGGCGGCGGCGGCGGCGGCGGCGGCGGCAGCGGCGGCATCGGCGGTGGCGTTGGCTGGCGCTCGCCCTCTGAGGGGCTCCGCGCATGCGAGCAGTTTGGCGGACCGCTCTCTCCGAGCGAGCGGTTCACCGCCGCGGAGGCCGCCGGCCCCGCATCTTCCCCCGCCGCTGCGGCTGCCTCGCGTCCCGCGGAGCAGCGGCCGTTTGGCCGGCTCAGCACAAAGCGGAGGAGGGCCTCCGCGCCGCTCGAGCTTCCCGTGCCGACCCCGCCGTGTGAGCCGCTCGCGCGCGGAGCGCAGCCGGGGCAGCGGCGGCCGGAGCAGCAACACGCCCCGCCGGAGCAGCGACAGTCGCCCCCCGTCACGTCGCCGCCACGCCGCCGTCC